ATTGGTCTTTTTGAGACAGGGTCTCCCTGTAGCTCCAGCTGCCTGGAACTCACTCTGTAGACCAGGCTGGCCTCAAACTCACAGAGATCTGCCTGCCTCTGCCTCCCAAGGGCTGGGATTAAAGGCGTGCGCCACCATGCCCAGCTAATGTAATTATTTTATATTAATATTATTCAGATAACTAGTTGCTCATTGTAGACATTTTTCTTTAATTTTTATTACATTTTTATGTATTTTGAGTGTGCATGTATGAGTGTTGGGGGTGAATGTCGCAGCATGTGTGTGGAGGTCAGAGTGGGTTTTCTCCTTCCACCATATGGGTCCCAGGGATCAAATCCATCTTTCTGACTCCATCATAGAAATTTTTTTTAACTTAAAATATGTGTGTGAGTATTTTACCTGCATGTATGTAAGTGCACCTATGTCATGCAGTGCCCATGGAAGTCAAAAGAGGACATCGATCCCCTGGAACTAGAGTTAAGAACTGTTGTTAGCTGCCATGTAGGTTCTGGGAACTGAATCCCTGACCTCTGCAAGAGCAGCCAGTGCTCTTAACTACTGAGCCATCTCTCCAGCCCCTCCATAGAAAGCTATAAAGATACAAATAGGGAGCTGATCTCAGTTCTTGGGAAACAGAAGCAGGCCGCCCTGGTCCACATAGCGACTTCCAGGTAGACTGGGACTAGGGAGACCCTGTCAAAAAAACGAACAAACAAAAACCAACCAAACAACAACAACAAAAGTACACAATTCACAATTCCCAAGATGAGGCTAGTCCCAGTGCCTAGGAAGATGTCCTGTACCTGTGTTGGCCCCTTCCCTCCCCTTCCTTCCCTGTGGCTTTACCTACATTTCTTGAATGCTTATCCTTGTGTATGAATCCATGTGTCAAGATCTACTTCTGGGGAACCTGATCTGCTATGATCCTGGATTTATCTCAAACACATAGAATAGCACCTGACACCAGACAGGTGCTCTCTTAAACACTGGTTGCTGAACGCTATGAAGTCAAACAGCACAAAAACAGAAAAGCTACAAAGGCAGAAAAGAGGAACCTCCCTGGAGGTGATGGCGATTGAGGTTGATGCCCTTCCTTCCAGGCCTTTTTAATACAGATAACACCTGCAACTCTAAAACAGGAGGCAGTACCTTCCGTGACAGCACTGCCCTTTGGCAGGTCATCCTCTCTGTGGTTCCCTCACTCCTGTCAGTGGGCAGACAGGGACCTGATCTTGAGGCTGGTCAGTAAACAGAACCAATCCCAGTACAGAGAAGTTTTCAGTCTCCACCATCCTAGACAGCTGATGTCTATCTGCCCTGTTCAAATGCTCAGTCCCCAAACCATGCAGTGTTTCAGCAAGGAGTCCCTGCTCCTATGTGTCCCTCCCAGTTCTCTGAGATAAGCAGCCTTGGGGGACAGTCCTACTAACTATGAGGATCAGCTCTAGCCCTTCAACCCAGCTTTAGCATTGGGCATGTGGGTGAAGGCAGCAGAGAGATAGAGACCTGTACATTCACAGGCCCCTCCTCGCCAGCACCTGACTCTGGGAGTTCCTCTGCGAGGCTCCTCCCCAAGTGTTCCTTGGGTTGACAGGTGCAGAGTGCAGTCTCAAAAAACCAAATAGGGGCTGGAAAATGCTTGCCACACAATCATGAGAACCTGTGTTCGAGTCTCCGGCACTCATATAAAAGCCAGGTGTGTGGTGTAACCCTAGCACTGGGGGTATGTGATAGAGAAAGGTTCACATCCGGCCCCCACATGACATGCACTCATGTACACACATACCTACATGTACATGAGCATGCACACATATAAAACAAGCAAATAAGTAAAATAAATGATCATTATGAAAACAAAGAGAAGTTCATTAGTTGAGGGGAACAGGACCCTGCCAACTCACCTTTCTCCCCAGCATCATGGGGAGAAATCTCTGCAGTCCTTGTTCAGCCCTAGTGACGTTTCAGAACGCTAAGACTGTGAAAAGTGAGCTAGCATAACAAATCAGCATTCCAGGAAAATAGAGTGTACCTCAAATTTTATTAAGAAAATGTAGATATAGGGCTGGAGAGATGGCTCAGCGGTTAAGAATACTGGTTGTTCTTGCAGAAGACCCGCGTTCGAATCCCAGCACCCACATGGCAGCTAACTGTCTGTAACTCTAGTTCCAGGGGATCCGATGGCCTCATCTGACCTCCGAGGGCATTGCACGACATGGGTGCACTTACCTACATGCAGGCAATACACGCATACACATAAAATAAAAATAATAAATAAAATATTTTTTAAAAATGCTAGGACAAGCACTCTACCACTACAGCCCAGCCCAGTCCTCACACAAATCTGCTCTTGCATAATTTTCATGGAGGGTTGCTACATGCTAAATATAATAAAGATGTAAGTTTCATAGTGTTAGAAGGCGTTGTATGCTATGGAATTAGAAGGAGAATTAGGTAAGTGAAATGGAAGTAGAATTGCAGTTTACAAACATGAATTTTATAAAACCAATAAAAGAAAACAGTGGCAGTAGCGGTCATAAAAAGAAGTAGCTAAGTGAATTCTAGAAAGTGAAAATATTTTTCACCTCTGATCTCATCATGCTAACAACACAGTGTTTACAGGATTTGGGGTGTTTTCGTTCCTTTTTTTCCCGTCTGAGCATTGCACACATCTGATTTTTTCCACTTGCCACTTGAACTCAGCTCTTCCACCTCCCAAGCCTGAGCACTTAAGTGGCCCACAGGGGAGGCCGAAGCCCATCCGGGTCTTTCTGGGTCCAGGTGCGTAGAAGCAATCCCAGGATCCCAGCTGGCTAAGTCCTGCCTGACAGCAGGGAGAGGGGCCTGCTGGGAACTAGTTATGAGTAACTAGTTACCAGGTACAGGACAGAATACATATAACATTTCTACTGACAGTGGCTTCCTTACTCATGTTGCTTTGTCAGACGGGGTGGGCGAGGATGAAGTGCCGGCACCTCTGGGTCTCCCTCTCCCAGGCAGCTGTGGCCCAGGTGGGCTTCCCCATCCTCTCCCCAGTAGACCTTCCTCCAGGGTTTTCTTCTCTCTCAGAGAATCAGTGCTGCTGCCAGCCTACAATGATGGTCAGTCTCAGCTCCAGTTTTTCCTTTTTCAGGAAAGACTCTGTGGATTCCAAGACTTCTTCTACCTCCTCTCCAAGAAGGCCATCGATGGAAAGGTAAAGGAAGCTATTGACTTCTCTGTGGCAGAGTTCCTGTTGGGCAGGGGGTCTTCTCTGCTCAGTGGAGGAAGCCTGAGGCAGAAGCCTACGTCATCTCTAAACCCTAGGACCCATGGATATGACAGCTAACCAGTTACTGTCAGCCCATCACTGAGTACCATCCTCAAGGTCAAGTGACCTCAGGAAAGACAGAGGTCTTAAAGACCTGTTTTTGGAATGGCACCTCTGATTTGGGCTGAACTAGTTAAGTGTCCACACAAAGGTAGCGTAAATCAAGTTATTCCTTCCCTAATTGTTTTCAGAAGGCAGCCAGGTGTGGTGGCACAGGCCTTTAATCCCAGCACTTGGGAGTCAGAGGCAGGCATATCTCTGTGAGTTCAAGGCCAGCCTGGTCTTCATAGTGAGTTCCAGGCCAGCTGGGGCTATAAGGAGAACTTGTCGCAAAAAAAAAAAAAAAAAGTTCTCAGAAGGCCTACTCTGCAGCAGGTGCCAGTGATACAGAATGAAGGAGAGAAATGGAATTCCCACAGCCTTTCCTTTAGTGAGAGTCACCTGTATGTGTTACCTACATACAGGCAATACACTCATACACACAAAATAGAAATAAATAAATTTTAAAAAATTAAAAAAAAGACTATGTCTCAAAACAAATAGAAATTTTAAAAAATTCAGATCTGAGCTGGACATGATGGTAATGTACTTGGGAGTCAGAGTCAGAAGCATCATGAATTTGAGGCCCAGGTCTGGAAATGTTGGATTTGAGTTCTTTCTTGAGTCATTCTGGCAGACGTTGAATAAACAGAATTCAGTCACAATGTCTGGGCTGGAAACAAAATTTCATAGTCATTAGTGTGTACCTGGAATTTTAGACCACAAACCTGGGAGGGTACCAAAGAAAGTTTGTGGGTAAAGGAGTAAATCAGGGTCCCAAATGGAGATCAGAGGTCAGGGCAGCCAGAGAGGCATGCCTAGGGAAGAGCAGGGCAGGCTGGCAAGCTGGATCAAGGCAAAGGGGGAGGGTCCAGGTGCCACATTGAATTCTGGGGTGGCCTGCTAGGACACTAAGGGCATTGGTTTGTAAGAGAATCTGTTTGAAACCCAATTTCAATAATGTTTCCATTGGCAAAAGGAGTAGGGACACAAAAATTAGGTTGAAGCTTTATGAAGATTCACCAGGCCTGGGAGGTGAACATGGCAGGGAGTGTTGGCTGAGTGGAGGCTCCTGGGAGGGTTCCTTGGAGACAGAGAGTCTGAGACCCATCCTCTGAATAACCCTGCAGTCAATTAGCAATGTCTGCAGAGGGTGAGACTTAGGAAAGAGACTCTAGTGCCACTCTGCTTGTAGACCACTGGTTCTCCATAGGAGGCACTTTTGGTAACAATTGATAGGGATAAGAAGTAGTGGTGCACCAGTGGTTGCCTTATGAAAATGCAGGCCCAATGTGTCTTCCGCAGTTGTTAGTTGGTCTGTTTTTTTAATACAAAGATCTCATTCTATAGCCCAGGCTGACCTCAAACTCGGTGGGCTCAAGCTGAGTGTTCCTGCCTCAGCTGCTGAGCACAGAGACATGTGTCACCATGCTGTGCTGTTGTCTAGTTTTGTTTTATTTTATTTAGAGGGCTGGAGAGATGGCTCAGTGGTTAAGAGCACTGACTGTTCTTTCAGAGGACCCAGGTTCGATTTCCAGCACCCACATGGTGGCTACAACCGTCTATAATTCCAGTTCCATGGGATCTGACACCCTCTTATGACATCTGCAGGCACTGTATGACATGAGCGCACTTACATACATGCAGGCAAAACACTCATACAAATAAATAAATAAATAAATAATAAATAAATAAATAAATAATACAGGCAAAACACTCATACACATAAATAAGTACATAAAATTTTTTAGCCAGGCATGGTGGCACACACGCCTTTGATCCCAACATTCGAGAGGCAGAGGCAGGTGAATCTCTGTGAGTCTCAGGCCAGCCTGGTCTACATAGTGAGTTCCAGGCCATTTGGGGCTACAGGGAGACCCTGTCTCAAAAAGACCAAAAATTAAAAAATATATATTTTATTTATTATTTTTATTTTCTGTGTATGAGTGTATTGCCTGCATGTATGTAAGTGCACCCATGTTGTTCAGTGCCCATGGAGATCAGAAGAGAGCACTGGATCTCCTGGAACTGGAGTTATGGGAGGTTGTTAGCCACCATGTGGGTGCTAGAAATCAAACCTGGATTTTCTGCAAGAGCAGCCAGTGCTCTTAACCACCAAGCCATGTCTCCAGCCCCTGTTATCCAGTTTAATTATTATTACACACCACTGCAATATGCTTCAAGATCAAAGAGAGCTCAGAAAAGGGGGGGAGAGAGAGAGAGAGAGAGAGAGAGAGAGAGAGAGAGAGAGAGAGAGAGATCGGGGCTGTCAGGGTATATATGTTGAGTCAGAGGACAAGTTTGTGTATTTGGTTCTTTCCTTTTACCTTTATATGGATTCTGAGAATCGAACTCAGGTTGCTAGGTTTATGTAGCCATCTCACCGGCCCCAATCTTCCAGTTTTTGAGTTTTTTATACTTATTCGGCATGGAGGGGGGCACACATGCATGGAGGTCAGAGGACAATTGGCTGGAATTGGTTCTCTCCTTCCTTCATGTGGGGTCTGTGGATGGAACTCAGGTCATCAGGTTTGGCAGCAAGGACCCTTTCCCCATAACTGTCTTGCCCACTCCCAATCTTCTAGTTCTTTAAAAGTAAGCTGGACATCTAGATTTAAATATGAAATTCCCAAATTAAAAAAAAATTGTAGCTGGGGGTTTGGGGGGACACACCTTTAATCCCAGCACTCAGGAGGCAGAGGCAGGTGGATCTCTGTGAGTTCCAGGCCAGCCTGATCTATGTAGTGAGTTCCAGGGCCAGCTGGGGCTACAGAGAGACCCTGTCTCAAAAAAGACCAAAAAAATTTATTTATTTATTTATTTATTTATTTATTTATTTATTTATTTATTTATTTTATGTGTATAAGTGTATTGCTTGCATGTATGTAGGTGCACCTGAGTCATGTAGTTCCCAAGGAAGCCAGAAAAGGATGTTGGATCTCCTGGAATTGGACTTATGGACAGTTGTTAACTACCATGTGGGTATGGAAATTGAACCTGGGTCTTCTGCAAGAGCAGCCAGTGCTCTTAACCACTGAACCATCTCTCTAGCCTCCACATTCCAAGATTTAAATATTGGCCACATGTTTATATTTTTCTAAGACAAAACAGGGCACCAAAGGTGTTTGTGTCCCACCCAACTGGGGCACATGCTCTAAGGCAGGACAAAGATGGAAACTGAGGGCCTCCGAGTTCATGAATGTAACTACAGTGCAGAGGTCACATACCAAAATGCTTGTTTTTAGAAGCGGATGGCTATACCATACAGTGGGAACGCAGGAAAAATGTCATTGTGTAGACTGAGGGGGTCAAGGGATGCTTCACTTAGGGAGAATTTGAGCTGGGAAGTTGTCCTGGTAACTCAGAAGAGGGCGTCAGGAACATCTTTGGAAAAACACTACAAAGGTGTGACGATCGGAGTGAGCGTGGTGTTCTGGAAATTATAGCTGGAACATCAAAAAAAAAAAACAAAACAAAAACCTGAAGGGTACCATGGTAACAGAGAAAAAAGTTGCACTGGGGTCAGTGCCTAGCTGCTGAAGGCTTGACGGTGCAGTAACTGACATGCCCTCAAGGTGGCGCGCAGGAGCAGTGCGCAGGGCCCTCGGGTACCCTGCCAGGCGGAGGACAGGCTTTTTAAAAAACTGGCGCTGAGGCTAACAGACCCAGGAGCAGAAGGAAGATATGGATAGATGCAATCCTGACCCTCAACCTCGCTAATGATGCCCCCTCTGCAGTTTGGCATTGGTCCCGGTAGTGTGCATTAAAAAGCAAAAGCGAGTGAGCGTGGCTGCCCAGAAACGCAACCCAGACACAAAATCCAGCCAGCCAGGGAGCCAGATCCTAGCCAAGCTGGAGGGCATGGAGCCAGGATCTTACCAGGAAGGAGAGGGAAATACTCCAATAGCCCCACCTCTCATGGGTAAGAGGACTCTGGAAAACTCCTTTTCTAGACACACAGAAATAGACAGAACTGGGAGGGCAGACAGACTTTTAAGTCCAATTCTGCTACTTGATAGTTGAATAGCTGACCTTCGAGAATTCCGTTCCACTCACTCTCATGAGACTTACTCTATTGATCTATAGAATAGGAGTAATTTGACTCCCCAAGGTCATTGTGAGGATCAGATGTTGAGATGGATGCCTAGCACTGTTTCCAAGCCACATAGGCGCTCCACAAGTACAGAATGCACAGTGGCAATGCTCAGACGTTACCCCATTATTGTTGTAAGTTACTAATACCTTTTTTGCTGGAATTTTCTTACGTTCTTTTAGTCATCTCAACACACCCATAAGATGGATGCTGCGGTTATTCTCATTTTACATGTGAGAAAACTGAGGCAGTTGGAGGTTAAGGAACTCACCCAAGGTCATAGAGCTATAAAGTAGGTGTACCAGGCTTTGAACCCAAGACTTTGGCTCTGAAGCTGGATTAGTGCTTGCCATGGTACATGTGTGGAGGTCAGAGGAAAACTTTGGAGAGTTGGTTCTCTCTTTCCACCATGTGGCTTCTGAGGATCAAACTCAGGTTGTCAGGCTTTGCTAGTCCCTGAAGGCTGAATTCTTTAGGGGGCAGGATTGGGGTGTGAGACAGGGCCTTACTATGTAGCCCAGGATGACCTAGAACTCATGATCCTCCTGCCTCAGCTTCCTGAGTGCTGGAATTACAGCCATGTGCCACCACACCCAACTCAGGAGCTTGGATTCAAACAGTGTAGGCATTCCACACATGACAGCTTCCTTCAAAGCTCTATATTGTGGGCTCCCCCTTCTGTGTTCCTTGGTGATACTTGGACCTTCAGGTGTGTGCTGGGCCATAGGTCAGCAAGGCTTCCTTCCCTCTGAGGGGGTGGAAGAGCGAGCCCTCTTGTAAGCTTAGGGAATGGGGCCACTGCCTTCCAAAGAGGACCTGCCTCTCTCCTGTTGAGCTCTATGTGGACCCTGGTGTGCGCCTTTCATCCTTTTATAATCAACTTCCTTGATTCATCATACATTCAACAGTTATTTAGCAGCAAGCACTCATGAGGAGTGCTGTTACAGGGTGAATGAGCCACAGGGTCCCTCTGTGAACTGTCATTTAAAGATGGAAGCAGACGATGTTTATAAACACATTCACAAGTTAATTATAGACTTGGATAAGTGCTGTTCTGTAAGAAAGCAGAGTAGGGACAGTCTGCCTTGCCTAAAGTGATGTGGCCTTTGAGCTGAGACCTGACTGCCAGGAAGCCAGAGAGCCTTCCTTGGAGGGGGGACCATGTCTTTAACACTGGGAAATGCTAGCTAATCCGTCAGCCTCCCAGGTAAAACTCCTTAGGCCTGAAGACTTTCTCAGAAACCCAGCATTCTTTTCTTCCTAAATGGAAGAAGTCCATCCATAGGCTGAAAGTAAATCTGCAAAGTATCACAGATCCAGACCCTATGGCTGCCCAGACTGTGCGCTGTATAACAATGCCTCAAACCAGGGGCCTCCATGCTCCATGTGTTCTGCCAAGAATGCATTTACCAGGGATGGAGAGATGGCTCAGTAGTTAAGAACACTGACTGTTCTTGCAGAGGACCCAGGTTCAATTTGCAGCACCCACATGGCAGCTAACAACTGTCCATAACTCCAGTTCCAGGGGATCCAGTGCTGTTTTCTGATATCTGCAGGTCCTACATGACATGGGTGTGCCTACTTATGTTCAGACAATACATGCATACACATAAAATAAAATATTTTTTAAAAAAGTTTACAGAATAAGAGTGCATGTCTCGAATGAATGAGGTCCTGGGTTTGAGTTCCAGCACTGAACAAAAGAGTAACCAGGAAATCTGAAATATCTGATAACTAATTTGGTTTTTTGTTTTAATTTTTATTTATATTTTATGTGTATGAGTGTTTGGCCTGCATACATGCAGTGCCCACAGAGGCCAGAAATGGGCATCAGATCTGAAGGCATAAGATCCCCCGGAACTGGAATAGCAATTAGCCACTAGCTGGATGCTGGGAAACAAACCCAGGTTCTCTCCAGAAGAGCAGTAAGTGCTCTTAACCTCTGAACCATCTCTCCAGCCTCTGATTTGTTCTACTTATTTGATATTTGGTGAATACCTTTTAGGCTATAGAAAGAGTTCAAGGTAAGCCTGAGCAACTTATAAAGATTTTGTCTCAAAATAAATTCTTTCAAAAGGGTTGAGGGGATGTAGCTCTGTAGTAGAATGCTTGCCTAGGATGTATGAGGCCTTAAGATAAATCCCAAATACTTAAAAATATAAAAATAAAGAAAAAGTAGATATATTTTATATTTCATCTGTTTTTAAATTTTAAAAATTAATTTATTTTAGCCAGGTGTGGTAGTGCATGCCTTTAATCCCAGCACTTGGGAGGCAGATGCAGAAGGATCTCTGTGAGCTTGGGGCCAACCTGGTCTCCATAGTGAATACAGGATAGCTGTGGCTACAGGGAGACCCTGTTTCAAAAAGACCAAAAATATTTATTTTAATTTTATATGTAAGAGTATTTTGCTTGCATGTAAGTGTACTCATGCATGCAATGCCCACAGAGGCCAGAAAAGGGCACTGGATCCCTTGGAACAGGAGTTATCAACAATTGTTAGCTGCCATGTGGGTGCTGGGAACCAAACCCATGTCCTCTGCAAGAACAGCCAGTGCTCTTAACCACTGAGCCATCTCTTCAGCCTGTTTAATATATTTTTTAAAAATGAAGAGTGAGAAATAAAAACTAAAAAAATATTAAAAATAAAAATGGGCTGGAGAGATGGCTCAACGGGAAAACCTCTTGTATTTCACCATCATCTTTCTTCAATTTCCAATTTCCAAATGGTGAAATGTACAGGACTGCATACCAACAACATCCATCCTCTGTATTGTTAAGCAAACTTTAATACTGAAGCACAGCACATTTAGAGGGACTGGAGAGATGGCTCAGCGGTTGTTAAGAGCAACGGCTGTTCTTGCAGAAGACCTGGGTTCAAATCCCAGCACCCACATGGCAGCTAACAACTGTCCGTAACTTCAGTCCCAGGGGATCTGACAGCCTCTTCTGACCTCCATGGGCATTGCACGACAAGAGTGCACTTACCTACATGCAGGCAATACACACATACCCATAAAATAAAAATAATAAATAAAAATAAAATAAAAATAAAAATGAAGAGTGGGAGATTCCATCTGCAGCCCTCTTATAAGAAGCTGGGTGTGATGGCATACGCTTGTAATTCCAGTACTGAGGAGTGGGAGATGGGAGGGTCCCTGGGTCTGCCTGGCCAGCCCACCCATCCTAGCCTACAAATATGAGCCCCAGGTCCCAATAAGAGACCCTGTCTCACAAAATAAGGTGGAGTGGGGAGCTGGAAAAATAGCTCAGCAATTAAGAGCACTAGCTGCTCTTGCAGAGGACCCAGAATACACATGGCAGCTAACAACCATCCATAACTCCACTTCCAGGTGATCTAATACCCTCTTCTGGCTTCTGCAGACATTGTATACGCCTAGTACACTTAACATAAATGCAGGCGAGACTCATACACATAAAACCAAAATAAATAAATTATTTTTTACAAAATTAAGCAGACAGCTCCTGAGGAACAGCATCTGAGGTTGACCTCTGGCCTCCACATACACATGCACACACCTGCACACAAACACGAGAATGAATAAATAAACACACAAGCAAATCTAGCTAGGGATGTAGCTCAGTTATTGGAGTGCTTGCCCAGCATACACAAAGCCCTGGGTCCCATCTCCAGCACCCTATAAACCAAGCATGGCGGTACACACCTGTAATCCCAGCACTTGGGAGGTGGAGGCAGAAAGATAAGGAGTCCACCCTCAGCTACTTAGTAGGTTTGAAGCCTGGGCTGTGAGACCCTGATTCAGGGGAAAAAAAATCTAATCAATGCTGTGAATGGAATTACTTGTAGGCAGTATAATCCTAGACAGTGAAGGTAGGGGACTTACACAGTCTGGACTCTATCTAGTCTGTGATGTATCATCTTGGGCAGTGATAGGATTCTCTGTGTTTGTTTGGTGTTTTTAAAAAATATTTTATTTATTTTATTTTATGTGTATGAGTGTATTGGCTGCATGTTTGTGAGTGCACCCATGTCGTGCAATGCTGCGGAGATCAGAAAAAGGCTTTGGATTCCCCTGGAACTGGAGTTAAGGATGGTTAGTAGCCGCTATGTGGGTGCTGGGACTCAAACCTGGGTCCTCTGCAAGAGCAGTCAGTGCTCTTAACTGGAGCTCCTTTTTTGGTGTTTTTGAAACAGGGTCTCTCTATAGCCCTAGCTGGTCTGGAACTCACTATGTAGACCAGGCTGGCCTCGAACTCACAGAGATCTGCCTGCCTCTGCCTCCCAAGTGCTGGGATAAAAGACATGCGCCACCACGCCCAGTTCTGTCTCTTTGTTTATAAATGGGATGGTGAGATGTCAACTACCAGGGACTGCTGTGAGGATTAAATTAGAAAATGTTCATCAAGTGATGGCCAGGTAAGAGCCAGGCCCCTTAGATGGTGATAGATAGCACTACTCTCTAGTTTGTGAGCTCCTAGATGGAGGGCAATACCCTGTTTGGCTGCTTTTTCTTAGCACAGTGCCTGATAAATACTAGGTGGATGGTTGGATGGATGGACAGATGGTATAAACTTATGAGAAGATGTAGAGAACAGCTAGCACAGTGCAGAACAGATGGATGCCTAACTATTGGGTGTTCCCTGTTCTGTAACAAGTAGGAGCCTGGGTACCAGGAGCTCAAACACCTGGGCTTGAATTCCTATGGGTTCCCAAATGTGTGACCAGAGTCAAACATATCTTTATAAATGCACCTATTTCTAAGATGCACTTCTAGTGTGGGGATAAGAATAGTACCAACCTCACAGAATTATTATGAGGATTAAATGAGATGATCTCTTTCCAGAGTCTAAAATAGCACCTGCCTCATAGGGTTGTTATGGGGATTAGAGGAGACTGTTCATGGAAACACCTAGAATGCTATTCCATAAATGGTTTGTTCGCTTAATATCAACATGTCATCCTCAGATCCAACAAATCGAAAGCAGAGGCCCCCAGGACCCCCAGCAGCCCCTTGACTCCCACGTTCGCCCCCTCCGTCTGCCTCCTGGCCCCTTGCTATCTTACAGGGGACTCCGTCCGGGATAAGTGTGTGGAGATGCTGTCAGCAGCCCTGAAGGCGGAAGGTGAAGGCCTGGGCTGGGCACGAGGGAGGGAAAGCAGCAGGGGAGATGTACTTTTTTCTAGTACACTGGTAGTGACAGAGGAATGGTCTTGTCAAGTAGGCATCCTTGGCAAGGTCACAAATGGCTGATGTCTGTTCCCCAATCTTTTTTAGATGATTTCAAGGACTATGGAGTTAACTGTGACAAGTTGGCATCAGAAATCGAAGATCATATCCTGAAGCCCTGTGGATCTGAGAGCATATCTAGCTGAGGTGGAGCAGGGTTCTGGGGACAACTGACTTTGTTGTTAGATTTTGTGCTACACGTCAGTAGGTGCTGAGAGCAACTTACAAGCTGTGTTCCCTGGGTTTATCAAGTGAAGCATCCATCAGGAACATCCATCACCTGCCAAAGCTCCTACAGCTAAATGTAGCTGCAGAGTTAGGGTTTGAACCTTGAAAGTGTGACTTCAGAACCTGAGGACTTAGCAGCTGTGCCAGACAGGCCACATCATACATGCCTCAGCTGGTCAAAGCACCACCTCCTGAGGGAACAGTAGTGTGCTTCATGCTCAGGACTCCCCTTCCCTCCTCTGGTGGGCGCAGCTCCCAAGTTCCATCCTGAGGCCACCAGGCAGGCATCAAACTGACATTTGTTGCCTCTGTTAATGCTCCTAACGGTTCCTGTGAGGCCAGCTGGTGTTCCCATTGTATGCACAAGGAAACCGAGGCTCAGGAACTCTGGGGTAACAGAGCTAGACAGAGAGCCTTGGTCTTTGGGTCTATGTACTTTCCCGACCTCCCACTTATCAGCGAGGGGCCTTGTGGGAAAAAGATTCACTCTCCGTTGAATGGATAGTGTTTCTTCACTGGAGACAAAGGTTTGCATGTCTAGGACCAGAGGTATGAAAAAGGGACAGACACTCCAGGGGAAAGGAGTCTCCTGTCACAGGAGGTGTGAGTGACCTTTTCTAGGCCTCCTCTGTCTGGGGAGCTTAGCTGAGCCTGCTGGGGAGGCTCAGGGACCAGATCTTAGGCAGCCAGTTTGCCTCCTTCTGTCTCTTGCCTGAGGCCATTCCTAGTACCTGCAGCCCATCCTTTCTCTGGAAGTGTCCATTAACCACAATTCAGTGGTTATCCAACAATACCTCTATAAGTTTTTTTTTAATATTTTATTTTTATTTTATGTCTATGCACCCGTGTCGTGCAATGCCTGCAGAGGTCAGAAGAGGGGCGTGGATTGCCTGGAACTGGAGTTACAGACAGCTGTTAGCTGCCATGTGGGTGCTGGGATTTGAACCCGGGTCTTCTGCAAGAACAGCCAGAGTTCTTAAGCCCTGAGCCATCTCTCCAGCCCCAATACCTCTACAAGTTTTAAATCATTTTCACCATTTCCTGTTAATTCAGGAGCCCAGAGCTGAGGTCTCAGGACTTCATTTTCTCCATAACATTCTGTGCCCTCCAAGCCCAATTTGAAGCAGAGTGCATGGCCTGGTCTCTAGTCTCACTCCTGACTTCCCTCCTTACTTGCTTCCTCCACTGGACAGCCCTTTCCTTAAGGAGAGGAAATCAAAGTTGTAGCAGGCTCCTTAGCGCTTTGATGATAGCCAGGGGAAGAGGAATACAGGGCTTGAATGCTCTGTGCCGCCTAAAAGTCTGTCCTCTGTAGAGTGTCCCTAAACTAACATGGCATGAGTTAGGCAGGGTGTGCCCCCGAAAGGTCAGAGTCCCTGGACACTGCTCTCTACCTGTTCCTCCTCTGTAGCCTTGGTATATGCACGAGTCAGAGAGAGGCCGGTGTACCCAAGTGGCCCCTCATATCCTCTGAAAATCCTGAATGGCAGTTTTACTCATATTTTGTCTCTCAAACGCATTGTGGCGTAGTCTGTTCTTTTCACTTACTGTATAGATGACGTTGAAACAAAGACAGAAAAAAAGCCATAACGCTGCCTCCTTCTCATCGCTTCCCATAAGTCAGCAGGCTCCACTCTGCGTGTTGCCCTGTTCTCTCGTGTCTGTGCTTTTTCCCAGCAACAGCTTTGTCTTTCTGCCTTCACTTGGCTCAAGAGACCAAGAAAATGAAGCTGATCTCCCCAACCCTGCCCTGTGTTTGAGAGGGGTTAGAGAAGGAACTGGGATTCTGGGTTTGGACAGAACTCACTGTGATCTGTGGCCAGGGGCAACTTCCTGCGGTGAGTGGATAGAGCATTACTGTTAGGAGGAGGTCTGGCTTGCAGCCCTGTCCCTGCCGGGAATCTTCCCTGTGACCTTGAGCAAGGGCCTGCCCCCTTTCTAAGCTTCAGCTTCCTTATGTGTTTGTGAGAGAAGTGACTGGTCAGCCATTCCCAAAGTGGGTTCCTCCCAAGGAAAGAGGGCAGGAGATCTAAGGTACGGAGGGACATCTCTGACCAAACACCTTGGGGATGTGGCTTAGTTGATAGAGTGCTCAAGAGGAGGAAGCAGGAGGATCAGACGTTTAAGGCCATCCTCGGCTACACAGAGAGCCTGAACCTTGGCTCTTGATCTTCTGTTACCTGGACTCAACTCCCAGGGGTCGGACTCAACTTCCAGGGGTCCTTCCAAATTAGAGTTGACCCTCATTGTCCTCGTCTTAATAGCCCGTGAATGTGGACACATTCCAGATCTGACATGGTGCCTGGTGTGGCACTGACCACTACCAGCCCCATGTTTTGTAAGTGGGGACTGAGGCAGAGAAGTGACTCACCTGAGGTCACAGGAGAGGCTCAGACAGACCAGCATGCCTGTTCCCTTCAGTATCTGACCCCATAGTACTTGCTGTAATCTAATCTTTTTGGAGGTTTCCTGTCTGATACCTGGCTGACCCCAACGTGCAAGCGAGATGCCCACTGGCACAGATGTGCCACCTGACCCCTTAGCAGGCCACAATGAGGAGGGGACTGCCCAGGCTCCCGTTCCTGTGCAGCTCCATGAATGGCAGGCTGGCCCTTGACCCTGACACATATCTATCAAGAGCTCAAAAGCACAGACATGAAATACCGGAACCGAGTGCGCAGCCGCATCAGCAACCTGAAGGACCCCAGGAACCCAGGCCTGAGGAGGAATGTGCTCAGTGGGGCCATTTCCCCTGGGCTCATTGCCAAGATGACGGCAGAGGTGAGAATGACCGGGCCTTGGTGTAAGGGCTAGGGTTTTCGCCGCCCAGCTCTGGGAGTGGTGGCTGTGACTGGGGACACAAGCCAGGGGCTCTTCCACCAGGCCCAGCTCAGCTCCTACCAGCTAACTTGTTAAGGACCATAGGAAACACTCACTGGAAAGATGGGTACTTGATCCTTTTATTTCAAAGCCTGTGTCTTGGAAAGACATTTAGCACACTTCCAGAGCTATCAAGGAACTCTCTGACGGTCACTAAATGTTGGAGAAGTGAAGAGACCCAAAGAAGGGGAGAGGAAATATGTTAAGCCTCTGGAACCTGGGCAGGCTTCAGGGTGTCTGAGTGGTCTGGGATGAAGGAATGCGGTGCATGCCCTGTGCATACAATGTGTGGAGTGTGTATATGGTGTGTGTTGTGATATATATGTGTATATGTGTGTGTTGCTATTTTGTGATGTGGGGGTGTGGTGTATATGATATACAGAGTGTGTGGTGAATGCATGAATAGGATGCTTAGTGTATGTAGTGTGTATGATACACAGAGCTATGTGTAGTATATGTGATGAGTGTTAATGTGTGTGATATGTGGGAAGAATTGTTTGTATATGCATATGATGTATAATTAATGCATGTGTGGTGTGAGATGAGTATAGGTGTGATATGCCATCGGCACATATGTATGAAGTGTGGTTACTGTGTGTGGAGTATGGAGTGTGTGTATGTGTAGAGTGTGGTTAGTGTATGTATGGTGTGTGGTTAGTATGGGTATGGTATGGTTAGTGTATTGTGTGGTGTGTGATTGGTGTGTGCCTAGTGGATGTAGTGTGTGATTGGTATAGATGTGTGGAGTGTGGTTAGTTTAGTGTATGGTGTGTAGTTTAGTGTATTGTATGGCATGTGATTACTACGTGTTTGCGGTATGTGTTTACTGTGTGTGGTTAGCATGGGTGTGGTATGGTTAGTGTATTGTGTGGTGTGTGGTCACTGTGTATGTGGTGTGTCATTAATATGGGTATATGGATAGTGTATCGTGTGATGTGGGGATTGGTGTGTGATTAGTGGGTATGGTGTATGATTGGTATATATGTATGGAGTATGGTTAGTATGTGTGTGGCATGTGGTTAGTGAATTGTACGATGTGTATTTAGAGTATGTATGTGGTGTGTGGTTAATATGGTTAGTGTATTGTGTGGTATGTTGTTACTGTGTGTGTGGCGTATGGTTAGTATGGGTGTGATATGTAGTATATTGTGTTGTGTGTGATTACTGTGTGTGTAGTGTGTTGTTACTGTGTGTGGTGTAGTTACTGTATGTGTGGTATGTGGTTAGTCTATTGTGTGCTGTGTGGTTAATGTGTTCATGGTATATAGTTTAATGAGTGTGATGTGTAGTATGTTGTTACTGTATTGTATGCTGTGGAGTTAATGTGTTTGTGGTGTGTAGTTTAATGAGTGTGGTGTATGGTATGTGTGTGGGGTATGTGGTTAGTGTATTGTATGATGTATGGTTAATGTGTGTGGTATGGAGTTAATGAATGTGGAGTGTAAACAGTGTAAGCATGGTGCACGGAGGTTACAGTGCGGTGCTGTGGTGTGGGTATGTACACTTTTCTGAGGCGAGAACTCACTGCTTTCCTCAAGCGCCCCAAACAACAGAGCCCCAGGGATAGATAAATGGGGAATTTGGTATCTACATATCAACATGTATCAAAGTTATCATTCTGCCCAATTTATAATTACTTATTTGTGGGGGGGAGCACACATGCCACGGTGTGTGTGGAGGTCAGAGAGCAATTTGTGAAGGTTGGTTCTTTCCTTCAGCCACATGGGCTCCAAGGACCAGGTCTTCAGGCCTGATGGCACTGTTACTTGCTGAGCCATCTTGCTGGCCCCATTCCGCTCAATGGAAAAGTCTGATTTTTGTTGTTGTTTTTGAGACAGGATCTTGCTATGTAGTCCAGGATGACCTCAAAGTCGCACTGACCCTCCTTCCTTCGTCTTCCAAATACTGGGATTACAGGCATGCATCGTCATAACTGGCTAGGACTGAGCTTTCTTTTTGCTGGTACTGGGCATTGCAAGACATAGGTGCACTCACATGCAGGCCTTACACATGCCAGACAAGTGCTGTACCATCTGAGATACATCCCCAGCAAGATCTGATCTTTTTGATAAAATGACAACATAGCCCTGAGGTATAAATTGCAACATAGCTTTGCAGTGTCTTCATCAGTCCAGGCTACAACCACCTCCCAGCCACTGGCTCATAACAGCACACATGTGCACTCACAGCTCTGGAGCCCAAGCACTATACGATTGAGGCACTGGCAGAATTGGTGTCCAGCACTCTGTCTGTGCTCACTGTAACCTCACATGGTGGAGGAGTGAATGGTGTCTAGAGCCTCTTTTATAAGGGCACTGATCCCTTCATTCCCTAACGGCCTCCCAGTGACGCCACCTCCAATCACCATCACCTTGGGGATAGGAATTCCACACGTGAATGTCTTCATCCTGTGATCACCTTTTGCCCCAGGCAGGAAACTTATGCAAATAGTATGGAACAAGTTTTGCTCCAGTAAGAATAGTGGCTTCCAAAGCCAGGTGTGGTGGTGCACACCTTTAATTCCAGCACTCAGGAGGCAGAGGCAGGCGGATCTCTGTGAGTTCAAGGCCAGCCTGGTCTACATAGTGAGTTCCAGGACAGCTGGGGCTACAGGGAGACCCTGTCTAAAAAAAAAAAAAAAAAAAAAAAAAAAGAAAAAGAATAGTGGCTTCCAGTCAGGTGAGGTGGCATGTGCTTGCAATCCCAGCACTCAGGAGGCTGAGATAGGAGAACAGCCATGAGTTTGAGGCCAACCTGTGCTACAGATGTCGTAAGCCCTGTCTCAAACAAGTGGACCTTCCAGCCAGAGTGCAGTGGAGAGTCCTCCAGGGCAGGCTTTTCCTAGCTATGTTTTTTTTTTTAATTTAGTTTTAGTTTATATGTATGAGTGTTTTGCCTGCACTTTTTGATAAAATGACAACATAGCTCTGAGGTATAAATTGCAATGTCTTGCAATGCCCACAGAGGCCAGAAGAGGGCATCAGATCCCCTGGAACTGGAGTTACAGATGGTTGGTAGCTGCCATGTGGGTGCTGGGAATGGATCCTGGGTCCTCTGCAAGAGCAGCCAGTTCTCCACTCTTAACCACTGAGCCAGCTCTCCAGCCCCCAGCTCTGTGCTTTTGATCCAACATGATACCTCCTGCTCAGTTCAGACTCTACAAACCAGGCAAGAGGCAGAGCCCTTTGGCCCCCAACCCTAACAGACTCATTTCTCTCCAGGATATGGCCAGTGATGAGCTGAGGGAGTTGAGGAACGCCATGACCCAGGAGGCCATCCGTGAGCACCAGATGGCCAAGACTGGAGGAACCACCACTGACCTCCTACGGTGTGGCAAGTGCAAGAAGAAGAACTGCACCTATAACCAGGTGGGCAGAGAGGAGGGCAGGCAGGAGGGGGCGGGGGGAACAGCAGGGTGGGGAGACAGCAGGGGTGGGGGGGCACAAAAAGGAGGTGCCAAGGGGGAGCAAGGACTAAAACTCTCTGAGAACCAGGGCGAAGGGCAAGCCTGAGGACAGCATCGCAGTGTCTTGTGCCTTGTGGCTTCTGGAAAATGTTCGGACTGTGGGATCAGCTGCTATATGTCCATGAAGCTGGGCCACTGTCTCTTTTGCCCTAAAGCGAGACCAAGGCCCAGACTCCAGGCTGTGCCACACTGTCTTCCAAGCACGCTGCCAAGCACAGACCTTCAGAGGAGTCCCAGATGATTGGACGGGAATGTGGCAATGTGGAAACCCAGGCCCTCATGGGGTAACTGAAAGCTAGATGGGATGAATAGGCTCTACAGCTTTGCCCAAGGTGCCCACACAGGCCAATGGCAGGGAGGCTAATCTAAACCTTTTCTGTTTACCTTACCTGGTGTTTTGAGCATTGAACTTACTATGTAGCTGAGGCTACCCTTGAACTCCTGACCATCCTGCCTCCTAAATGCTGTGATTTTAGGTACACACCCCCAGTGCTATACTTTTAGGTTCAAATCTTTTGAGGGTAGCCCAGTCAGTGAAACCTAAGAGGTCCTGAGGGTAATGAAACTGCTGTGGAGGGACCGTTCCCTGAAACCAAAGCATGGCCTGTTGCTGGGTTCTGCCGTTAGGGTGCCAGTATCCATTTAGTGCTTCTAGAACTCTATTTATCCTTCCATCTGCTCACCAAGTAAGATTTATCAAGAGGAGCCAAACATGCTACTGGGAATTGTGAGGCAGTAAGAAAGGAGGATTGAGGGAGGGATGGGTAAAGCCAGCCTGGGCTGCATAGGGTACCCTGGTCTCAGCCAGGTGTGGTGGTGCACACCTTTAATCCCCGCACTTGGGAGACAGAGCAGGCAGATATCTCTGAGTTCAAGACTAGCCTGCTTTACATATCAGGTTCCAGACCAGTTGGGACTACATAGTGAGACCTTTTCTCAAAAAACACAAAACAAAAAAGTTTGGGGCTGAAGAGATGGCTAAGCAGTTAAGAGCACTGGCTGTTCTTGCAGAGGACCCAGGTTCTATTCCCAGAACACCCACATGGTGGCTAACAACCATCCATAATTCCAGTTCCAGGGGAATCCACCCTCTTCTGACCTCTGTGGGCATTGTAAGATACAGGTACACTTACATACATGCAGGTAATACACTCATACACATAAAAATAATAAATTTTTTAAAAAATTTTAAGAGAGAGGTGGAGGGAGGAAGATAGAAGTTCAAGGTTATTTTCTGCTACATAATCAGTTCAAGGATAATCTGGGCTACAAGAAACTGTGCCTCAAAAAATTATCAAGAGCACTTTACTTTCAGTGTCCAGTAGCTACAGTAGAAACAATAGTTGTCAGCCTTGCTTTTCTGGAAGGTTCCCTTGAAGGATTCCTATTCAGGATCTGGGAGACACCTGTGCATGCTCCTACGCTGTCCCAAGCACATCTCTAGCCAGGCTGATGTGTTGCTGTACAGCATTGCCCCTCAGAAGTCAGCTGCCTATTAGCCAAGTTTCATTTTGCCCAAGAAGGCCCACCATTGCTCCTTCTCCATGTCCTGTTGTTTAGTGACAAGGCTGTGCCATGGTGTGTCCTCCTGACAGCTTGGAGGCATTCACCAGCTGAGGGTTCCTCCTCCACCCCACCGCTGATCCCAGCTGACATCACTCACAGCTGAATGTCCACAGAGTAATGACAGGCCACCTGTCATGTCCAGTTAGAGTTAGAATGGCAGCTGCCCACCCTGGAAATGCCAGGGCCTTGTGGCAGGAAACATTGTCCTTGCACCTGAGTAATGAGCTTGAGGGATGGGAAATGGGGAAGCACAAGATAACCTGGCCCAGTGATCTGCAGAACCCCTTTCCTCTCTGGGTCTCAGCACTCCACTTGTGGGATGAAATGAACAAGATGATTTGTAAGGTGCCTCCAGCTCAGACAAGCATGCCAGATATAGTGTGTTCAGCGGTGAGTCAGGGAGGGCTTCTAATAAGAGGTGAGGCTTTGGACAAGAGAAGAGAGACCAGTTTAGAAGGATCAACAAGAGTGCGAGTGCAAAGGCCAGGTTGAGCCAGTGAGATTCTGAGTGAGCTGACAGAAGACCAGAGGAGAAAAGATTATATATCCATGACAAAGGAACTTCCCAAGTGGGGTAAATAGCAGTGTCAACCTGTAGGATTTGAACCTACTTCTAAGACAGTGGGAGCCACAGCAGGCCCTAGAGCAGGGGAGTGACTTCATGAGTGATTCTTCTCTCTGTCAGGTGCAGACACGCAGTGCTGATGAGCCCATGACCACCTTTGTCTTATGCAATGAATGTGGGAATCGCTGGAAGGTTTGTATGTTTGTCTCTTCCCTGTCATCCGCAGATGCTACCCCACATAAGTAGGATTCCCACTGCCAGGAAGGCCTGAGCTAGCAGGCAGGGGGCTTGCCAGCCTGCAGTCAGCCTGTAGAGCTGGCCTACAGAGCAGGGACAGTGGCAGGGTGTTGCTGGGGAGGCAGTGTTTGCAGTTTTGGAAGGGTAGCAGCTGGGATGGGTGGCAGCTCACAACTTATTACAGGATGTGCAAGTTGAACATGGATGGGTTTGGCTTCTGGGGGCCACAGAGAGGAGGAAATGCAACAGCACTGAACCTTTGAACCAGCCTCTGCAAAGGGCTTTCACAGAAGCTGTTGCCCTTGAACCTGGCCACACAAGGAGAAGATAGGGAGACTGAGTCCTGTCCCAGTAGAGTGGTCCTGAAGCAGCCTGAGTGTGCTCTCCTCAGGAAGCTCTGGAAAGGCCTTCCACCATCCAGCACAGTAACCTCCCTGCCTGGCTCCTGCTGGGGCAGTGGCTTGGTTTTCAGCCATGGGGGGCCAAACAGAATCCTCTCAGAACACTACTTCCTGGGGTATAGCTCAGAAGTACAGCATGTCCTTGTATGCATGAGACCCTGGATTCACCCGTCTCACAGACACAGACACAGACACACACACACACATACAAACACACACGCAGGCTGGGAATGCTACTCAGCTAGTAGAGTGCTGGACTAACCTGCATAAAGCCCTGGGTTACAAACAAATTTGAGGTCAGCCTGTGATGCATGAAACCTAAAAGGGAAGGAGGGAGGGAATGAGGGAGGGAAAAATAAAAGAACATGGAAAGGACACTGGTGCCTACCTCATAGGGGGATGTGAGGGGAAATGGGTTTAAACATGTTAGCACAGCCTAGCTGTAGATCAGTGCGCCTAAGGCTTGCTGCTACGGGCAAAGGACGTTCTTCATACTCCAGACCAGCACTTCCTTCTTGCCTGCTGGAAAGGCAGGGCCCACAGGAGGTTGTACCTGAGTCTTCTGACGATATTTTCAGTTGCTTCCCACTGCTGTATAGGAGACCTAAAATCCAACCAAGTAATGGGTGACAGTCATGATGCTCTTACCATGGACTGAGAGCCCATCACAGTGCTGTTCATGATTACCTGATGCCATTCTTACAGAGGCTGGCATTATGATCCCATTTACAATGAGTGATGGGCTCCGGGTTGCTTGGCTAATAATGGCAGAGCTTGGTTATAGGTCCAAGCTGTTTAGCTCTAGACCCCACATATTCGTCTGTGTTTCCATGCAGCATTGTCATGTGACTCACGGAGACCCCCCCCTCACTCTGTTGCCTTCTGATTTTGTAGTTCTGCTGACCGAACCACCCGCCAGGATAGCAGTGAACAAGGTGAGGAAGAAGAAAGAGGCCCACAAACCATGTGACCCAGAGCAAAAATAAAAATTCAAATGAAGGAAAACGCTGAGCTCTGGATGAGGCCTAGGAATGGGAAGGAGGTTGTGATGCAAATTAATAATCATCAGGAAAAATGATGGGCTAGGCCAAGCATGGTGGCACATGCCTTTAATCCCAGGACTCTAGCGGCAGAGGTAGACAGAGCTCTGTGAGATCAAGGCCAGCCTGGTCTATAAAGTAAGTTCCAGGTCAGCCAGGGCTACATAGTGAGACTCTGTCTCAAAAACAATAACAACTACAACAAAGATTGGCTAATTGGGGAGCCTAACTGGGTACGACACTAAAATCTGTAGTGACAGAGTTATACAGAAAGTCAGCATCAGTTGAATGGATCATGTCTTTGACAGTGTTCTGGAAAATCTTTGCTTTGAGTTCCCTCCCTGCCACTGAAAAATAGCAGATCTGAGTTGGGCATGTAGCTCTGTGGTAGAGCAAATGCTGAGCATGCATAAGGCCCTGGAATCCATCCCCAATATAGAATAGGAGGGAGGGAGAGTGGGAAGGAAAGAGGAAAAGAAGAGGGAAGTGCCAAGTCAGGCATGGTGCTCTGCGCCTGTAATTCCAGCTGCTTGGGAGGCTGAGGAGGATCACCTGAGCCCAGGAGTACAGAGTTTGCTGGGCAACATGAGGAAACCTTTTCTTTTCTTTCTATTGTTTTATTTTGAGATAGGGTCTCGCGTAGCCCAGACTGGACTTAAACTCTGTACGTAGCCAAGGATGACCTCAAATTACTGATCCTCCTGCCGACACCTCTTAAGTGCTGAGATTACAGGTCTGTGCCATCACGCCCATGATGCTAGGGCTTCATGCATGCTAGGAAAGCACTCTACCAACTGAGTTTATATCTCCAGCACGAAATTGTCTTTTAGAAAAAGTGTTCTGGTGTGGTGGTGTACCCATAGAATCCTAGCACTCAGGAGGCAGAAGCAGGATGGCCACAAGTTTGAGTCTCAGACCTGCACACAGAAGGGCTGTGTGTGGTTTGGCTTGGACAGATAAGACTCCCACACTGGATAGAAATCTCTTCCAAAACTCTGTTGTCTCTTGCTCCTAGCTGGCTGCAAGGTTTTTGAGAACTCTGAACTGGGTCCTTCTAGTCAGGAACAGTTCTAGCATGCAGGTACAGTCTGAGGATTACAGCAGTACTCATGACTTCCAGCTCCTTTGGGAGTCCTGAGCTCCAGCATCTGCCCAGGTTCACATAGTATATTCCTTCCAGCCCTCTGTATAGCCTGAGCTTCCAAGAAGTATGTGGAGGGGTTGGAGAGATGGCTCAGCAGAGGACCTGGGTTTGATTCACCCACATGGCAGCTATGAACTGTCCCTAACTCCGGTTCGAGGGGAATCTGAAGCCTGCTTCTGACCTCTGCAGCATTGCACAACACAGGTACACTCACATACATGCAGGCAATACACTCGTATGCATAAAATAAAAATAACGGGGCTGGAGAGATGGTTCAGTGGTTAAGAACACTGGTTGTTCTTGCAGAAGACCCGGTTCCAGGGGATCCGACAGCCTCTTCTGTCCTCTGCGGGCATTGCACAACACAGGTGCACTTACCTACACACAGGCAATACATGCATACACATAAAATAAAAATAAAATATTTTGTATAAAAAGGTATGTGGAACACGGTGGCCGTGGTGACCTTCTCCCATGCTGCCACTAGCTTGCACATTATTCTGAGGGCAACTTCAGGCAAAGCTGCAAGCTTCTGGAAAAGCCTTGGAAGCAGGTGTGGTGAACTGTGGTAGTTCAGTCACTGACTGTCCCTGGCCTTCCAGCAGCCATGGGCTGAGCCTCCTAGACTCAATAGCTGAAGCCTAGGAGGTTGTGATTCTTGGGAATTAAAGCAAGTCACCTCTCTGCCAATTCCTTATTGCTAAAAGTGAAAGCAGTGAACTCCTGCCTCTTAGGATGATTGCAGGGGCCACAGACTTTTCATCTGCCTGGTTCAGCCTTGGGGTAAAGTGTTGGGGTAGACAGCGGAAAACGCTGATGTTTCCGGGGCATCATCTCCTCTGGACTTGATGGTCAGCTTCCTTCCACCTGTCATGGGCCGCTCCCAGAACATGGAGTCTGTAAATAGACTGGGTGCAGAAATCTGTCACAGGACTGGCAAGATGGCTCAGTGGGTAAGGGCGCTTGTTGCCAAACCTGGCAAACTGAGTTCAATCCCTGGGACCTACACAGAGAGAGGGAGTTAATTCCCACAGATTGTCCTCTGACCTCCATATGCCGGGAAGGAAGGAAGGAAGGAAGGAAGGAAGGAAGGAAGGAAGGAAGGAAGGGAATCTGCTAGAACCTTCAGCTTTTAAACCAATGGTCTACATAGTGAGTTCCAGGACAGCTGGGGCTACAGGGAGACCCTGTCTCAAAAAGACCAAAAAAAAAAAAAAAGTTGGAAAGATTAGTGATCCTCCTTTCTAGAGGGTATAATACCCACAGCTGGGAAAGGCAGGACAGGACAGAGTCCTGTATCTCCCACTTCCTGTCATTGTGTACAACCCTGGAAGAGGTCAAGAGCTGTGCACAACCCCTGGCTCCTACCCTCCGGCTGTTCTCTGCTGCAAAACACACTTCCATGCCAGACCGTGCCATGTGCCATATCTAAATTATGAATATGACCCACAGAGGTGGAGAGGGATGCTGCTTAGAAACCCAGGTGCTCCTTAATGTTTACTTTGGGGGTTTACCTTGGAGGCCATGGTAAGATCCAGGTTCTACTTCAGTGGGTCTGGAGTGGGGCTGAGAGTTTCATTCCAGCAAGTTTCCAGGTACTGCCAATGTTTCTCGTCATGGACCACACTTGAGTAGGACAAGCTTGGATATCTAGATTATTTTCTGCATCATCTAATCCTCCACTCCTTCTTGCCTTTTGGCTAAGACCAATGTATCTCATCTATCATTCAAATGTTTAGAAATCTAAAGGCAGAACACAACAGTGTCCACTATCAATCTAATGTTAATGAGGGTTGCTTTAGGGTGAGTATATATTTTTTTTTACATTTTACATTTATTTAGTGTTGTGTATGTGTGCACATGCCACAATGTGTGAATGGAGGACAAACTGTGAAAGTTGGTTCTTGGTTCTCTCCTTCCACCATGTGGGGCCCAGGGATCAAACTCAAGTCCTCAAGCTTAAAGGCAAGCACCTTACCCACTGAGCCATCTCCCTAGCCCATGGGTGTGTGTTATAAGGGACACCCTGGAAAGACTTTCAGTATCACAATCTAAATATCATTTGTGTTCCCTGTATCATAGGGATTTAGAGTATGGGGGGTGGGGGAGCAACCGGAATCTTCTCCCGCAATAGCCTTCCTGTTTACAAAGGAGATGAGTCAGATTCAACAGCAAAGGAACAAGTTGGCTCAAGTCACACAGTAATACAGTACACGTGCAATGTTCACAAAAGGACAAAGAGAAGTATGAATAGGCCATAGACTTTGTAACACCCTCCAAACGGGTCTTCCTGCGCCTACCCTGGATCCATTCCAATTCATGCTTTCAATGGCAAGGGACTGGAATCAGCTTTTCCAAAATTGTAAATCTGATTGTGTTACAGTCCTCTGCTCTGCCGCCCCCATTCAAAAGCTTGCATTTTTCCCATGCTCTTGGCAGGGCCACGGAGGCCCTGCACGGCTGGCTTCTGCCTCGCCACCGCTGCGCTTGGTGCTCATGCCACACTGGCCTCTTGGTTCCCCATGGCCTGCTGTGTTCCTTCCAGTTTTCCACATGCTGTTACAGGCTTGGGATGCCTGGCTTAACCCCATCACTTCCTTCATCGCAGAGAGTTCAAGCCTTAGGCAAAGTAGCATCACCTTCCTGGAGGAAGGAGGAAAAGGACAAGATCAGTAGGTGAGACTGAAATAGAAATGATGCGCTTTGGGGGAGTGGGGAGAAAGATCTTACAAAGGTATTTGGGCCAAACAACCTTGAAAGTAAAAAGCCCATTCAATAACCTATAGCTAATTTACAAGGTATTTTCAAAAGGTTATAGACACTTGGAGTAGGGATATAGCTCAGTTGATAGAGTGCTTGCCTTACATGCATGAGACCCTCAGCTGATCAATTTCCCACACTGGTGAGAGGGGAAGAGGAGTTATAGGCATCTCTGTCTGCCTTTCTTTCCTTCTTCCTTTTTATTTTTTTCTTTGACAGATGCCAGATAGGCCTCAAACTGGCTAGTCAAGGATGACCTTGAACTCCTGAATATCCTGCTTCAGCCTCTCAGTTAACTGGGACTACAGGTGTGCAACAACATGCCTGGTTTATGAGCCAAGCCTTGTATATGACTAGGTAGGCACTCAGCCAACTGAGCTACATCCCCAGTCCTAGAAATCTTTCTTAATAATCTCGAGTCCACCAGGTATCTTTGGTTATCCCCCATTCTCTTTTTAAAAATATTTTATTTTTATCTTATGAGTGTATTGCCTGCATGTATGTAAGTGCACCCATGTCGCACAGTGCCCGCAGAGGTCAGAAAAGGCATCAGATTCCTCTGGAACTGGAGTTATGGACAGTTGTTAGTTGCCATGTGGGTGCTGGGAATTGAACCCAGGTCCTCTGCAAGAGCAGCCAGTAATCTTAACCACTGAGCCATCTCTCCAGCCCCAAGTACCCAGGGCCCATGTAGCTACAGCTTTGTTCCTCTGTTATGCAACACCTTTCCTTCCCTCCACTGCCACCACCATCCACATGACCTTTCAAGTTTCCTTTTCTTTTCTTTTTTTTTTTTTTGGTCTTTTTGAGACAGGGTCTCCCTGTAGCCCCAGCTGTCCTGGAACTCACTATGTAGACCAGGCTGGCCTTGAACTCACAGAGATCCACCTGCCTCTGCCTCCCAAGTGTTGGGATTAAAGGTGTGCACCACCATGCGTGGCTCAAGTTTCCTTTTCTAGGACTGTTGTAAAGTCCTTCCACTGGGATCCTAGCTAACTGGCCTCCTTAGTTGCCCTGTGTCTACCTACAATACTAGCCCTGAGCAGCCTTCCCCAGTCATCCTCTACCAATTGCCATCAGAGGGCTCTCTGTTTTGTTTTACATTTTGAAGGCTCTGGGAGCTTTTATTTAGTTATTTGGCATGTTCAGGAGACCCTCTACCTGTCTTTAATGACTCATCTTCCACCGGCTGCCCTTGATGGGGGATATTTGCCCTATTCATTACTAGATGGCCCTTCTCAATTGTGGCTGGCTGTTTTGCTTTCCAATGCTGGTCCAAATGACATCCATTCCTCAAGCTCACCTCAGACAGACACCTTCCATCACACTTCTGCTCTCCTGGCAACATAATGCTTCAGAACTCCTCAGTCTGCCATGATCTACTCCTGTATCTCTCAGTCTACATAGTCTAGCTGTCTCTTGCTGCATTCCATGACAGCTCTGTGCTGGATAGCTTTAGTGTCAACTTGATACACCTGGGTTGAGGGAGCCTCAATTGGAGAACTGCCTCTATTGGACTGGCCTGTGGCCATGTCTGAGGGGCATTTTCTTGATGAGTGATATGGGAGGGCCCAGCCCACTGTGGGTGGTGCCACCCCTGGGCAGGTGGGCCTATGTTGCATAAGAAAGCAGGCTGAGCAGGAGCCAGGGGAGCAAGCCAGTAATAAGCAGCGTTCCTCCATGACCTGTACTCCAGCTCCTGCCTCTAGGTTCCTGCCCTGAGTTCCTACCTTGGGCTCCCTGATGAACTGCGACCTGGAAGATGTAAGCTAAATAAACCCTTTCCTCCCCCAAGTTGGTATTGGTCAGAGTATTTTGTCACAGCAATGAAGAAACAGACTAAGACAAACTCCTTTAACATTTCTTTGTCTCACGGTTCTAACATCTTTCAACCATTGGACATTTACCACCTGTGTATCTGGGGCACACGATGTAACATCTCCATATTTTAGATGCCTCTCCGGTTTTCACTTACAAAATAGTGATAATACTCCTAGCTCAAAGGGTTATTGCAAGGGTTAATGAAGTCCGTAACAAACAAAACACTTAAAACTCCTGCCTCACACTCCCATGACTGTGGGTGAGCATCTGACATCTCAACTAACCCTCTGGTCCACAAACTAAGTATTATTAATATTATGGTAATGGGGATTGAACCTAGGAGCTCATGCATGCTAGGCAAGCACTCTACCACTGAATTCTATCTCCAGCCCTCTTTTTATTTATTTTTTAATTTTTTTGATAAGGTCTTACTAAATTTCCCAGGCTGACCTTGAATTTGTGATCCCCCTACCTCAGCCTCCTGGGTAACTGCAATTACAGGCTGGTACCACCAGACCCTGCTTGAGTCAGTATTATTATACTCTAAAAAAATTATTTGAGCTTGCTGGGCATGGTGGCTCATACCTTTAATTCCAGCACTTGGAAGGCAGAGGCAGATCTTTATGAGTTCAACACCAACCTGGTCTACATAGTGTGTTCCAGGGCCAGGCACAGTTACATACTGAGACCCTATCTCAAAACAAAACAAAACAAAAATGTGAGCTGGAGACCAGCCTGACTAAGACAGTGAGACCCAGGGCTGGAGAGATGACTCAGTGGTTAAGACCACTGGCTGCTCTTGCAGAGGATCTGGGTTCAGTTCCTGGCATCCACATGGCAGCTAACAACCGTCTGTAACTTCACTTCCAGGGTATCCAACACCCCCTTCTGACTTCCAAGGACATTGCACAACATGGGTTCACTTACATACATGCAGATGATACTCACATACACATAAAATTAAAATGATAAAATATATTTTTTAAAAGTACAGTGGGACCCATGGTCAATCAATCAAACTGTAGTAAAAGATACCCAACAAAGCATCCTAACCATTTGAAGCACACAGTTCAGTACAGTTAATGCATTCACATTGCCATGTAACCAAATTGCCTAGTGGGTTTTGTGTGTGTGTGCACATGTGTATGCAGGTGTGTGTGCATGTGGAGGCCAGAGGTATCTCTTTTTTAAGACAAGGTCTCTTACTTAACCTGGAATTCACCAGTTGGCTAGACTGGCTGGCCAGTAAGCCCCAGGGATCCTCCTGTATCTTCTTAATGATGGGATTAGAGTGTGCCACTATGCTCAGCTTTAACGTGGGTGCTGGCAAACTCAGGTTCTTAGATGAGTACAGCAGACACTGTTGACTGAGCTGTCTTCCCAGCCCCATCTAGAGTTTTTCATCTTTAAAAGAGGCTGGAGAGATGGCTTAGTGGTTAAGGACGCTGGCTGCTCTTGCAGAGGACCCAGGTTCAATTCCCAGCACCCACATGGTAGCTAACAACTGTCCATAACTCCAGTTCCAGGGGATCTGATGCCGCCCTCTTCTGATCTCTGTGGGCATTGCATGACATAGGCTCACTTATACACATGCAAGCAATACACTCATATACATAAAATAAAAATAATTAAAAAAAAAAAACTAGCCCTCAAGGCTGAGACTGCGGTTCAGTGGTATAGTGCTTGCCTGGCTTATGCAAAGCCTTAGCTTCAATTCCCCTCCCCCTGTGCCTGGCAACCACTGTAGTACTATTTGTATTATTAGACTCTTTACAAGCCAAGGAACCCAAGGTTCAGGGAGTAATTTGTTCTTGGAAGATAAAGTTTGGATTTGGACCCAGACCCCAGTTATGCTCTGAGTCACTCATATCTGGCTTCACCTCACAGAGCATCTGTGACACATTTTACCTCCCTCCTGCCATGACAAAGGCCCCTGAGTGCCAAGGCCCTCCTTTGTGTCATTCTCACACTTAATCCTCACAGCAGCCCTGCAGCCATATACAGGGCGGTGTCCAATTCCCAGCTTAGTATCTAGTGCAGAAAGGAGTCAATAACTTGGGCCTAGCTGAGATCCTTAAACAGCCTAGACAATATGAAATGTTTGTTGTGCATGTTTAATGCTATTATCTACATTTTTAGAAAAGACTCTATTTGGGGAAAACTACCAGAAACATCCGAGGCCGAGCTTCCTAGCCCTCTGTGCCCTGCCCTCTTCCCGGCAGAGTCCATCAGCTTTCCTCACCCATGGCTACCTTCATGTGGGTCTTACCACCAACTCTGATGCTCTGCGCCAAAGGCGCAGATGACAGATGAGGGAACATGACACTTTCCCCATTCCCTTTCCTCCCTCTGTCACTCTATGGTACATTCTTCCCTGGCGTCTTAAGGAACCCTGGCCATACTAGAACACCTCTGTCCTTTCAAGCCTCTGTGCCTTGCACAAGCTGTTCTTCCCCTACTATACAGTCTCCACCGCTGACATGCCTACAATCTGCAAGTCAGCTTGGATGTCACTTCCTCAGCATTCTCCTCCCTCCTTCCCAGCTAGGAGCCTGTGCCTGCCTGCATACAGCTGTAAGGTTCTTGTCAAGTGTGCCCCCTCATTACCCCTGAAGGTTAATGGAGGCCCAGGTCATTTCATTTGAAAAAGGAGATTGAGAAAACAGGATTGTAAACATGAAGACATATTTTAAAACGTTTAAACAAAGTGATGGTTCTGATACTTAAAAAAAAAAAATCCAACGTA